TTGATTTGGCATTCTTGGGAGAGAGGTGTTGTTCAAGCATGAGGCAAGATTTTATTGAGGAAACAAAAGCCCCATGGAGGTCAAATTCCACCAGCACGAAAAAGGCGACTGCTCCTTATAATTTCTGGAAGCTGCGGCCAGCAGTTGGAAAGACAGCATTAGCAATAGCATCACAAAGCCCTGAGAATGCAGCTGGAAAGGGACTTTGGGATTCTACAGGACAAAAGCTTCCACTGGAAGGTGAGGGCACAATGTCTGCTTCTTTGCAGTGAACCTGATTTTCCTGATCTGTACGGGCAGCCTTCCCTTCCTCAAAGGCACTTGGCAGGCTGCAAAGGAAGGATGGCATAAAGTCTTTTGTGCCTAGAAGATGCTCAGTCATGGCACCAATATCTTCTCGTTCTCCTGAAAGTGGAAATCCTAAACCTACAGAGAATCAGAGATGTGGAAATAAATTCTGCTCTTAGGGGCCACGTGACTGGTGCCCAGCCACTCAGCTGCCCAGCCTGGAAGGGGAAGAGTCACTCTGCTGCTACCGGCTTAAAGTGTAAACATGTGCCCACAGTGTTTCTACTGACAGCACCCGAGGTGCTGGGAGAACAGCCTTTGCTTGCAGGAACAGTGGCTCTCCTGGAAAAGCCAGCTTGCTTGGCTGGAGTTGAGCCAGCAGAGCTGGCTCTCGCCCTGGCAAATTCTCTATCACTCCAAGGCCCAGGAGACTGGGAAAACTGGCCAGCGTCAGGGGGCCTCCCTCTGTACCAGCCTCCGGGTTCTTGCTCAGGGTGCTGGTTGGTGGCCTAGAAAACAACCGGTTTGAATTCACCTCTTTCCACTGCCTGTAAGTTCTCGGAGTTGCGTAAATTTGAAATTCTGGCACCCTGTGATTGTTAGGGTGGGAGATAAGGTGATTTAGAAAAGACCCCAGGCTTGGATTCCTCCAGCTTCTCACCTGCCCTTCGTCCCAGTACCAATCTGGCGCAAATCACCTTTGCAGGGAACTGGGAGACACCGCGGCCGCTCTGGTCACCTGATTTCTTTCCCTTTCACCTTTGCAGTTCTCTCCCCTGCCCCCAAAGAACCGAAATGAAATGAGAAGTAAATTGCCAAGGGAGATCCTCTCCTGGGGCAAATTTCCTGTCTTTGCTTATGGGCATGGAGACCCTGAGTGGGGAGGCTAGTTGCAGAGAGCGCTCTCCCAGAACCAGCCCTGGGGGGACAGGTGCAGGCAGCGTCTACTCTTTCCTGGGGTGGGGGTAGGGATTTAACAAGAGAAGGAGGAAGAAGAGAGACTGTATAGGAGACCCCAAGGGCTGTCTCTATTTCTCCACCCTGCCCCACCCCGAAACTGTCAGTCTCCACCAAGCCTCAGAGAGAGAGAGAGAGAGAGAGAGAGAGAGAGAGAGAAGTGGGGGTGGGGAGAAAGAGACGGAGGGGGGAAATCAAAGAAAATTGCAAAAGTCAATGGCCCGGAACTAGAGGCAGCCTCAGCAACTGCAGTGTGACTTTGATTCCCCTATCATAACCCTGAATTAAAAATTCAGGCAATTATCTGCATGGCTTCCTTCTGATTAGAACGAGCCGGAGCCTCATTAATGCATCAGCACAGAGGAAAGCCATTAGGGTCTGTGAAATGGAATGTTTCTCTGAGAACAGGTTCCGCTTGATGTAGAATACCCAGCAAAAAGAAATTTCACACATTTTTGAGCCCAGAGTCACAGGACAGCACCCTGCTTCAGGGCTGCAGACCCCACCAGGACTGTCCCTTTTCAGCAGGCTCTGGGTGAAAGCCACCTTTGTTTCCCAGCCCCTCTCTGGCACCTCCATCCACTGGAGTCATGTGGAGGGAGGAAGAGGAAGAGGAAGAAGGGACCTCCTGGCTGCTCCCTTTGCTAAGACACCAAGTCGGCCTGGATGCGGGGTCTCAAAGTCCTTGAGACATGAGGAGCACCCGAACTTCTTGGGAGTTCGCTGCTCTGCTTTGCTACCGGAAGCAAGCTGGTCAACAACACTGAAGGTCCAAGACTCCAGAAAAGAGCAAAGTATCTGCGTGTTCCCTTCCCTGACTCATGTGGTGACTTGGGCATCCCAAGGCCATCCAAGCAGGATGTGGTGACGCTGAGACAGCCCTGGGGGCTCGTTGCTTAGGAGAGGGTGAGGGGTTGGAGGTAAGGAGGGCACCCTTTGTTCATTCCTTATTCTGTAAGCTCAGCGCTCTTAGGAACGCGCATCTGCCAGTCCCTAAACGGGCAAACATCCCTACCAACGGCTGGCATTCGGAAGCCCCTCTGTTTGGGATTTCCGGGGCGCAGCTGTCTTCCTCCAGTGACTGTGTATCACTTCCAGGGGAAGCCAGGCGCGGTTTCCCTTGAAGCCCCGATAAGGCCAGTTCTTGGGAAGACTGGGCTTGCTCCAGACGTTATTGTCTAGATTTTCTTCAAGCCAGTGGGTGGGGCTTGGGCTCCCTCATTTCGGACAGCCCAGCCTTCTTCTAACACACGGATTCTCGGGACACCAAACACTGATCCTGGGGATAAGTGAGGTCTTCAGGAGGAAAGCTAGTCTTACACGGTGAGAACTGATACAGATGAAAAAGGTTTTGTAAAAAGAGAACTGGTTACAGTCAAATAGGATGCCAACCAGGAAAACGTTACCCTTCAGACTGTCTGGCTTAGCCCTGTTCTTCTGCTGGCACACCTGCTAACTACTCGGTGTGAGGAATCAGGGCCAAGTGTCTGTGCAAAGCTGTAAACACAGTGAGCCGGAGTCAATGTGTAACTAATCTCATTTGTAGCAGCTGCGCCCCCTACTGTATACCAGCCAAAGTAGGTGACCCTGGGGTAATTCAGGTTTTCAAGATGTTTTCAGTCACATCCCACGTTAGAAGGGTACATTCCTGGTCACCGGGGAGTTTTTATGAACCGTGTTTTCAATACTGCAGACAGTTTTATGGGCGAAGGTTCTTAGAGTTTACCTCCCCTCCCCCCCCAACACAAACAAGATGCTCGGTGATTCAATTATGTTCTTTGTGGACTCTGAGTGTCCGGTCTTTCCAACACTTTGCTCTCACTGGGCCAACACTCAGCAAAGTCAAAGGCGGTGACTGCAGATGACCCCTGTGTGAAGGGCTGACCTAAAGGCACCCGAAGTCTTGGGTGGGGGGAGGTTATCTCTCTAGGCTCACCAGCTGGTATGAGAGTGAGGGGGGCCTGGCCAAAGGTCAGGAATGTGGGCCTTCTAGAGAGCAAAGCTACTCCACCAGCCCCACAGCACAGGCCTTCCTTCTGCCATGGGAAGTGATCAAATCTCAGCCCTGAGTGTCTTACGACCTTCCATGGTATTTCTCAATATTTTAAACATAGACTCTTGCCAGTCAGATCATTCCTTCCTTCCCAAGACCATTTGGTTCCCACCTTTGTGACTTGTCACTCCTTATTCATGCAATAAATATTTTCTGAGCAGCTGTCATGTGCTAGATATTGTTCTAGGAACAGGAACGCTGAACACAAGACAGAGGAAGTCTCTGTTCTCGTGGAGCATACATTCCAGTTGGGAATGCAGACAATTACAGAAAGACGGACGAGTGAGTCAGCGGTGTGAGTGCCGTGGACAAACAAAGCTGGGTCGGGGAGAGAAACTGAGGGAGTTCTACTTTATACAGGTGGTGTCTCAGAAAAGCCCATTGGAAAACCTTTGTGCTACACTCTGGCAATCTGTCTTATTTGTCTCTTTCTTTAATTTTTTTTAATGTTTATTTATTTTTGAGAGAAAGAGAGAGAGAGAGAGAGAGAGAGACCAAGTGTGGGGGAGGGGCAGAGAGAGAGGGAGCCACAGAATCCGAAGCAAGCTCCAGGCTCTCAGCCGTCAGCACAGAGCTGGACACAGGGCTCGAACACACAAACCGTGAGAACACGACCTGAGCTGAAGTTCGACGCTTAGCCAACTCAGCCTACCCAGGCGCCCCCTTATTTCTCTCCTTTAAAACTAGGACTGCCTCTTCCGGAAAACATCCTACTAACTTTCCCCCCTGCACTGATGTTTCCTTCGGCTCATTTCTGTTCCATCTTGTTCATTCTTGGAAAGACGTACACTTGTATCTTGGATGATAGCCTCCTGGAATAAGGGTCCTGTCTTCTGTTTCTTTGGTTTGCTATCAGAACAGGAGTTGGGGAAGGCAGGGAGGGAACAAGTGTTTCTATGATGTGCTAGAGACATTACCACATCAGTTCATCTCCTCCATGCACATCTCCTGCAGATTCTGTATTATAGTCCCCATTGGAAAACAAGGACAGCGAGGCTTCATTTATCCAAGGGCATACAACTTCCAAATGGTGTGCCTGGGATTTGAACCCTGACCTGGCCATGCAAAAGAAGTGATTAAACTCCTCCTGTCTGCTGGATTAGAAATCCCTCCTTTGTGGGGTGCCTGGGTGGCTCAGTCGGTTAAGCGTCTGACTTCAGCTCAGGTCACGATCTCGCGGTCCATGAGTTCGAGCCCCACACCGGGCTCTGGGCTGATGGCTCGGAGCCCGGAGCCTGCTTCCGATTCTGTGTCTCCCTCTCTTTTGCCCCTCCCCCGTTCATGCTCTGTCTCCTTCCTGGGGCTCATAACCCCTTCTCTGTAAACTGAGGTTAGATCACAGGATCTCCCAGATCTGTTCCAGCTCTGACATTCTAAGAAATACAATCTCCTACAAGGAATGGGGCAGGGTGGAGGGCAAGGGGAAGTCAAGTGACATCCCCACTTCCAATCTGATCTTTTAAGAGAGAACAAAATGCCACATTTTGTTCATTCAGTTAAAATTCAACATGTACTGAATATGTGTCAGAGCCTGGCATGTGCTAAGGATACAGCCACAAACATTTATTTATTTGTTTGTTTGTTTGTTTATTTATTTAAATGTTTATTCCTTTTTGAGAGACAGACCATGAGCAGGGGAGGGACAGAGCGAGAGGGAGATGCAGAATCTGAACAGGTCCTGAGCTGTCAGCACAGAGCCTGACGCGGGACTCGAACTCACAGACCGTGAGATCATGACCTGAGGCGAAATCGGTCGTCCAACCAACTGAGCCACCCAGGCGCCCTGCAGACACAAACTTTTAAAGCGTGTCTTCATCCTGGAATGCATATAAAGGGAAAGACAAACATGACAAGAAATTACTACAATAATTATAATGGCCAACATTTTATATTTGCTCTTTTCCAGTAATTGCTCTGAGCACTTGGAAACCTTTTAACTCATTTCACTCTTCCCAAGCAACCAGGAAATGGATACCATTTTTATCCCTACTTTACAAGTGAGTAAACTGAGGCACAAAGAGGTGTGTATGTCCGAGCTCTTGCGAACATTAATAATGCACGCAAACTATTTATTTACAGGGCCTGACATGCAGAAATTATGCTAGGCAGATGTTGTGCAACATTAACCGGTGCTTTCGTGCCCCTGATATTTCTGCAATTCCTTGCTTGACCCCTCTGCCATTGGGAATCAGTCACACACAGCCAGTTGGAGGGATGAGACTTTCTGCAGAGAGCAGAGAAGGCTTTAGGGTTTTAAAACTCCTAATCTGTGGCTGTGACGTAACTCAGGACATAGAACAGATTGGATGAGTTAGAGCCAGTTTTCTGGCCCACAGAAAAGGGGAAAGCGAGGAGGTGGAAAGAAGCATGCCAGACCCCCTGAGAAATGGAGAACTAGACCCTGTTCCCTATTCAAGCTAGATGTCCAGCAAGGTGTAGAGTCAGACGGCAGAGCAGGAAGGGCTGGTGTACATGCTGGGGTGCCTGACACGGACCCGCCAAGTTGTTCCCTGGGCACTGACCTGGTGTGGGGGCAAAGTGCTCTGGGTTTGAGAGGTTGAAAGTAGAAGAGATCTGAGCCCTGCAAAGTCCCACTCTGGCCAGCACAGTGCACACAGCACAGTGAATGTCCGTCTCCCTAGCAGGAATGTGGATGTAAAAAGAGGGCCACTGGGCCTGAAGAGTCTTCTAGAATAGGAACAAAATAAAATGCTGTCTGAAGGACCGGCATGGGAAGTGGATGTCTTATGGCTGCCACAAAGAGGCAGGAAGGCATAGCGGCCAGGACAGGGCCTACTTGAGGGCAAGGGTCTCTGTCCGCTTAGTCCACTGCTCCATCCTGTGGGTCTGGTTTGGGTAATAGGTGATCGATCAAAACTTGTTAAATGAATGACTTTAGGCACGCTGCCTCCAGAACCAGGCCATTGTGTTTCAAACCTCATCTCTGCCTCTCACTGCCTGGGTAAGTCTCTTCCCTTCTCTGTGCCTCATGTGCAAAATGGGGATAAAAATCGCACAGATCAAGGGCACCTGGGTAGCTCATTCGGTTGGGCATCTGACTCTTGATTTCAGCTCAGGTCATGCTCTCGTGGGTTAATTAGATCGAGCCCCAAGTCGGGCTCAGTGCTGACGTGGAGACTGCTTGGGATTCTCTCTCTGCCCCTTCCCTCCTGTCAAAATGAATAAATAAATATTAAAAAAATAGTTCAGATCAGTACTGATCCAAGGTCAAAAGAGAGGATGTGTAAAGTGCTTAGTGTCCGGCATAGCACAGGTGCTCATTAAGTATTTGTTCTTAGTATTAGCACGTGCCCCTCCTTGTCCTGCACCTCAGTGCTACATTAGGTCCCCCCAGACCCTGAAATCAGACACAACCTTGAAGAAAAGTTGAGGACTCCAGAGTTGGCTAAGATCGAATTCCCACACCATGCTACAATGGAGACTCCTAATAGAAATTAAGCTAAGCACTTAAAAACAAAAGTTACTTTTCTTGCACAATGGATTTTGGAGCCTGTGAAAAATGAGGCGTCCCTTGAAGACCTTTGCTAGCATTTTAAATTAAATAACGTTCTCCCCTGTAGGCATTCACAGGACAACTTACCTCTCACCTTACCGTGTTTCTAGAAGAGCACAGTTCTGAATTCAGGTGAGTTGTCACTTGCCAGTGCTGCTGATACAAGTGAACTTGCAAGGAGGATAAGTCTGTGAAACATAACTCTATTTTTCTCTCTTCCTTCCACTTCCTCCTATTGAAAGCACTCCAGGCTTTCCTGAAGAAATTCAGTACAAAGGTTTTACTTACTGTAACCTCTCTTGAAGGTGAGTGATAAATATTATTAGTAATGTTTTTAAGGTTTCTTTTTTTTAATGTTTATTTTTGAGAGAGAGAGAGAGAGAGAGAGAGAGACAGAGCATATGCGGGAGAGGGGCAGAGAGAGTGGGAGAGAGAATCCAAAGCAGGCTCCAGCTTTTGAGCCGTTCAGTGCAGAGCCCAATGCCAGGCTCGAACCCACGAACTGTGAAATCATGACCTGAGCCAAAGTCAGAGACTTAACCAACTGAGCCACCCAATTAATGCCCAAACATTAATTTTTTATTTACAAAAATCTGCATTGATTTGACTTCCCACTTATTTAAATTTTTTTTAATGTTTATTATTGAGAGAGAGAGAGACAGAGTGAGAGTGGGGGAGGGGCAGAGAGAGGAGGAGACACAGAATCCGAAGGAGGCTCCAGGCTCTGAGCTGTCAGCACAGAGCCCGATGCAGGGCTCAAACCCACAAACCATGAGATCATGACCCGAGCTGAAGTTGGACGCTCAGCTGACTGAGCCACCCAGGTGCCCCATGACTTCTCACTTACTTAAATGCCAATAGGTGACAAACTCTCCCGTGTGCTCAGGACTGTCCCCATTTTAGCACTGAAAACCCCATATCCTGGGAATGCCAGTGATAAATCAAAAAAGTGGAGTTTTTTTTTTTTTTGATGGACACAAGGAAATGTACTTGTTTGAAATCAAAAGAGGTTACCTCCTGGGAAACCGATTTCCTCCGGGAGACCCCACTCCACTCACTATTAGCAAGTGTGGCTGATTTGACAAGGAGGAAGTGCGGGTGGGTTGGGGGGGAGGGGGTGGCAGAGAGAGGACTGTTTCAGATATGGCTGCCTGACAAGCCTACAAACCCTTGTCTTGGCATCCTTCCTACAATGTCCCTCACTTTGAGTCAGGCTCTGGATCCCCCAACAAACCCCACGGAGCAGTTCTTGCAGCTCCAAGTCACCATCAAATCTGTGTGTACGAAGCACTGTGGGTGTCCCCTCACAAGGGAGCAGCCCAAGCATGGGGGTTCCTTCAGGACATGTGGGGTGGCTTCCCCAGCCTCTGTAGATGTATGTCCCGTTCTCTCAGACCAAGTGTCTCGTGCCATTTTTGTGGTATCCACACACCTCATGGAATTGGCCCACTGCATGCAGATCGAGTTTCTGGTCACAGAGGATGCAGTGTGGCCTGTTTCCACACACCCGAGAGATGAATGTGAGGGCCCGTCAGGACTGTGGGCATTTGGATTCCTGAGGCCACAGTGCTCCTCCCACGGGTTGGGGTCTCTCATGAGATTGCTGGACTGTTGTCATCTGAAGGCTTGACTGGGGCTGGGAGGGTCTGCTTCCAAGATGGCCCATCACATGGCTGTTGGCTGGAGGCCTCAGTTTCTCACCATGAGGACCTCTCTGAAAGGTTACTTGAGTGCCTCCCTGACATGACAGCTTCCCCTGCGATGAATGACCCAAGAGAAAGAAAGCAAGAAGGCAGCCACAGTGCTGTTTAAGACCCAGTCATGCACTATCATTTCCTCCATATTCCAAATCCGCCAAGCCACTAAGTCCAGCCCGCGCTCCAGGGGAGGGGAATCAGGGAGGAAAAAGAATCAAAGGATTTGGGGACATATTTTCAAACCACAGTTTCCCAAGGCATCATGTGGCTGGACCAGGAATGAATCTCCACGAAGGCTGGTACTGATAGTAACACAGTAGGAAGAACATGGGCTTTGAGTCAAATCTGAGTTGGAAACCAGGCTTTGATCCTTTCCATTTTCTGGGATCTGGGGCAAAACGGTCATCTCTAAACCTTAGTTTCTTTATCTGCAAAATGAAAATTAGAATTGTAACTCTTCCATGGAGTTTTTTTTATAATTTAAACGAGATGACCCATGCAGGGACAGACTCTAACTGTATGGGGCCTGACACCTTTCCAACTTGACAGGGCCCTCTTGAAGAAAGGAGAATGCAAAATTACAAGTGTAAATAATGCACAAAATGAACATTTATTTAGAATTAAAAATGACAAAAATGGAGTGCCTGGCTGGCTCAGTTGATAGAACATGTGACTCTCGATCTCAAGGTCGTGAGTCCAAGCCCCATGTTGGGCGTGGAACCTACTGAAAATGAAATTTAAAATAATTAAGAAATGACCCCCCCCCCAAACCCCACATGTTAAGGCAGGTGAATACCACAAATGTCACAAAATTCAGAAAAATGACAATTAAAAAAATCACTAGGCATGCCTCTTTAAAATACCGTCTTCCCCACATTTTTACTGCATACTTTTTCGTCACTTGTCAACATGACAAAGATTTTGCAATATTTTCCATAGGCAGGGGCGCCTGGCTGGCTCTGTTGGTACAGTATGTGATTCTTGATCTCGGGGTCGTGAGTTTGAACCCCACATGGGGTGTAGAGATTACTTAAAAATAAAATCTTTAAAAATATATGTTTTCCATGGTCAGAAGATAATTTGGCCTTTCTTTAGCATGGTTGATTAAAATTTGGTTTTTATTATTGAGAGCTTATATTCAGCTCTACAACTTATTGTGGATAATGTCAGGCATTTTTTTTAGGGCTGTTGTCAAATTTGGTAAGCCTCCGAATATGTATTTTTTAAATATATGAGCTCAGGGCTTCAAGTAAGTGTTCCTGTGTAGTAAATTGATGGCACCCTTTACCCAGGGCGGTTAAGGGGGTCTGCATAAGAGAGGGGCTGGAAGCTTCAGCTTGCCTGACAGTCTTCCCCTGGAAGCAGGTATGTGTGGAGCATAGGGCTGGCATGTATCAGGTGCTCTGGAAATGGGAGAAGCCTGGAGAGTCCTTGTCTTCCTGTTCCACTGCCTCAGGCAAAACCAGAGACTTCCTGTCCTTGATTCTAACTTCTTTCTTCTCCAGTAGCTTCTCCAGTGCCCTTAGAAGGCGGGAACAGAAATACACCCCTTGGGTGGGAAGAATACTGGGCTCAGAATGAAAAGATCTGGGTTTGAGACCTGTATTTGTCACTCAACTGTGGGACTTTGACAAATTACCCAGGCTCACTGTGTGTCAGTTTCTTGGTCTCTGAGATGGGCATAGTTACACCAGCCTCATGGGTTGTTGCCTGTGAACAGTAGAATACCAGTACAAGGGCCTTGTGGATTACAGAGCAATTTTACTAATGTAAAATGTTTTTATTTTGGTGCCTAGAAGTTACCAAGGAATCGGTTTGGACACTATCCAGTGTTTATGGGCATCTTAAATTCTTTGTTCTCTGTGGCCTAAATGAATTGGAAATTCAAACTGGACTTCAATCAAATTTGGCATAAAGACCAGGACAGCAAACTTGTCCACTCTTTCCACAAAAAGGTACTGAGTTCTAGCTATTGCCATATTTGTGCTAGAGACGGGGATTCCAGGATAGACAAGACACAGTCCTGGCCCTTCAGGTATGGAGCACAGGTAAATGAAACCCCAGACGGACATCTGGAGGATGGGCTCAGCCTTCAAGCCTGTTAAGTTCAAAACCTTGGCCTCCCTGTGCCTCAGTGTCTCCTTTTGCCAAGAGGCGTTGCTAACTGCTAGAGAGGGGTGTGGACACAAATGAGGGTCTGCACATCTCGGAGAACGTCTGGGCAGAGTCATCAGAGGGTTGCACAGAGCCCCGCTGAGACTGGTTGTTCTTGGGGAATTTTCAGGAAGCTTTGAAGTGCCACCAGGACAAGGGAGGCTGCCCCATCCTGGAGGTACATTCACTTGTAATTTACTCCCCCACGTGGGCTCTGGAGCTCCAGTCTCATAAATACATCGCTTGCTCAATCCTGCCGTGGAAGACGGACAGAGGGAGGGGGCTGGAGGGGAGGAATCACTAAATTAAGAAGGTCCCTGGGAGTGACTGGCCTACAGACACAACTGAGTCCCCTAAGTTTCTCTCCTTCAAACATAAATATTTCCAACTAAGATCACAGACTCCCTCCTCATAAAATCAATGAAACCACAAGGGAAAATGACCTCCCGCTTGACTGCACCAGAGATATCTCAAACGGAGTCACTTCCCCTCCCGCAGAAGCAACCACTGCTGGGGTTCAAGGATCTGAAACCCAGGCACTGCCACCGAGAATCTGAGGCTAAGAAGAAGTCAGGTGGGTTGGGTACGTGTCCGTCTCATTTGACTTGCTGTGTTTCGGTGACGGCTTCTGCACGACCCTGCTGCAGCATGAGACTTTTTTCCTGGAACCAGACCTGGGTTCAAGGTGCAGCTCCTCTAATTACTGGCTGGGCGTCTTTGGGCAAAGTAGAATCTCTCCAACGCAGTCTCCTCATCTAGTACAAGGTGGATGATAGATAGATAATGTACCGTCTGGTCTGCCTGCCCTGCAGGGGAGGTGATGAGATCAAGAGAACTGTCCATGCAAATGCTTTGTAAACCATAAAGCCCTTGACAAATAACAGCTCTTGTTATTAAAAGATAAAAGCACCAATCCTGCTAGTTAGTGTACTTGTTAGAACCCCTTACGCTATAAGTGACAGAACTCCTAACTTAAACTGGCTAAAACCGCAATTGACTTATGTAATTGAAAAGGATGGATTCAAGTGAGGATGAGGTTCGACATCACGAAGGACCAGCTCCTCCCCAGCCCCCACAGTGACTGCACATGTCACATCTTGACAAGATGCCATCCAGAGGAGGGGAGTTCCTTTCTCCCAATTTCCATTAAAGAGAGATGGAGGGGGAGGAGTGAGGGACTCTTTTCTTTTCCAGAGTTAGCCAATTTCACTGGCTTTCTTTCCACAGCCAGGGGATCAGATATGCTGATTGGCTGAAGAGAATCAAGGACCATCCCTAGATCTGGAAGCAGGATCATGATGCCAACCAAACCACATTTGGAGGCGTTACTTTATCAGAAGAGTGAAAAAATGCCAAGTTGCACAAACACCCAACTAGTACAGTCCACCCCCTTTAACTGCCCAAT